ACGTTACGTCAGTTTATGTTGTATTACGTTCAGTAAAGTTAAGTTCCGGTAAGTTAAGTTAAGTTTGTACCGATTTCATTGAAAAGGCTCTGCTAACTAATCTTTTGGTTGATTAATATATTTTTACCTTCTAAGCTTAAAAAAATTGTTTTTTTATTGTTAAGTTAGGTTCGCATATCTTAATAAAATGAGGAACAAGGGTAAGAGAAACAGATTACAGCTCGTCAAAAAAGATAGGTTAGTTTTTATCTGCCCTAGTCTTGAAGTTCGACTAGCTTTGGAATACGTTAAATTATGCGAAAGGGATTAGCTTAATTACTGATAGTTTGGATTAGATAACTTAGCTTGGGTTAAATTAGGTTTGCTTAAATTAAATTAAGTAAGATTCGATTTCTTAAGTGAAGTTGGGTGGGCTTAAGTTGTTAAGTTAGATTAAATGGAGTTAGTTAGGAAGGTTGAGGTGAATTGGATTATTTTTCATTTTGGATTAGATTAGTATGAGTAAAGAACTACACGATTAGGTTAGATTCAACTGGTTTAGATTAGTATAAGTTAAGTTAAATTAAGCTAAGTTAATTAAAGTTAAGTAGTATTAGTTTAAGTTAAGTAGTTATGTATCTAGTTAAGATCAGTTAAGTTAATCTACGTAGTGTTAACCTAATTTAAGTTGAATAGATATGCAGTTAATATAAGTTTAGTTAAATTGATCTAAGTTAAGTTCATCTAAGTTAACTTCAAGTAATTTTAGTTAAATTAAGTTTAGTTAATTTAATTGAAGATAATTTAAGTTTAGTTAACTTAATTTACATTAAGTTAGGTTAAGTTAATGTAAGTTAAGTTAGGTTCAATTAAGTTAAGTCAAGTTATGCTGAGTTCGGTTAAATTAAGCTAAAATACTTAAGTTAAGCGTATTTAATTTAAAGTTATGTTAATATTAAGTTATGTTAATTTCAAGTTATGTTAATTTAAAGATATTAACACGCAAAGCAGGACCTTATAATTCCGTTCAACTTTTTTTTTTTCTCTCAAAATAAGCAGCTTCTAATATGCTATCGAATTAGTTACGTTAATTTGAATTAAGGTTATTTAAGTTAAGTTAAGTTATTTAAAGTTAAGTTAAGTTATTTAAAGTTAAGTAACGTTAGGTTAAGCTAAGCTAAGTAAGGTTAGGTTAAGTTAAGTTAGGTTAGCTTAAGTTAAGTTAAGTCAAGTTATGTTGAATTCCGTTAAATTAAGCCAAATTGCGTTAAGTTAAGTTAGGTTAAAGTTATGTTAATTTGAAGAAAACACAAGTTAAAATTTTATTTTATTTTCTGTGTTGCTTAACAAATCAAAAGCAGTAAAAATAAAGCAAAAGAGAAGCTTTTCGCTGTAAATCGCTGCAAAGCAGGGCCTTATTATGCCCCTCAACAGCTTTTCCCTCAAAAAAAGCTGCTGCTAATATGCTACCGAATGCTTAGCAAAAAAAAAAAAAAAAAAAATACGTGCAAGAGGTCAATTACCATCCTGAAGAGAGTTGACCGCTTACTAATTGACAGCAATCTGCCACAATAAGGGCCATACAATGTCACTAGCACACAGCTTTACTCGTATGTATAAGCAGTATGAGTAAACGACAGTATAACGATAAAACTAAGCAGTAGGAAGTGGGGCGAAAGGTATGAGTCTCTGAATAATTTAAATTCTTATGACAGTATTTCTAAAAGAGTCTGCTGACCATTTTGACAGGTCAAAATATGCGCATACATTTATAAAATACAACATATGTACATGTGTGTGAGTATATTATATTTATATATATGATAAAAAATTTTTACATAAACCCGAGGTAGATTATGCAGCGGTATTTAGAAAATATAGTTTCTCTAATTGCAGAAGCAGGTCACAGGATTGCCATAATTAACTCACAGCGGTCTTAAAATGCATAATTACATGCGTAACACAAGCATACAGTTAAACATTTTTAGCTGCAAATGTGTGGCTAAATATAGCAAAATGTATGTGTGTATATGCATTATATAATATATATGTGTGTATATCTGTGCGTATACATGTGCGTTTGTTAATATACACTTATGTACGACTGTGCGGAAGTGTCGGAAAATATTTAGCAAGTCAGAGGCAAAGCAATTGCCAACAAAGCTTACATACAACAACAACAATAACAGCAAGCCAAACAAGAAACAACACCACCACATCAGCATCTGCTGCAACATCAGCACTAACATCAACAAAAACAAGCAGGCGAAGCACTAAACCGGAGTAATGAAAAGTAAGCAACCTCAAAACTAAACACACACACACACATACATAGACACATACACAAGCAAACACGTACACACTAAAGTTCAGTGCAAAAGTTTTATGCGCTGTTGCACTGATGTTTGCTGCAAATTGCAACTTTTCACAATATTTTTCTCTATGCAACGCATGAAGTCACGCACATACATATAAATATATATAAGTATGTATACATGCATATATATACGTCTGTGTATGTGCGTGCTTGCTTATGAGCATTATTAGAGAACTTGTTTACCCCCACTTGAAGCTGTAAATACCATAGAGGAAAAAAACAAAAAAAAAAAAAACAAAAAAAAAATTGCATGCATAACAGGACATTGCAACAAATGCTAGTTGCTAGTAAGTAAGTTGCAACTACAAGTAGTACATCAACTCTAATGACTGGCCATTGACTTTGACGGTGTTTGCGGTGCATGGCGTCAATGCGAGCGAAATAAATGTGGAGTTGAGCAAAGCGCAAAAACAACAACTATAACTGTAAGTGTATATACCATACATATGTATATACCGATATACCTAAGTATACATGAGTTTAGAGCAATTTGAAAAGTAGTAAAATATTTTTAACCTTTACAACGGCAAACGAGTGCATGAATGGGGTAATTACGTCAAGTGGTTGATAAGGTGAGCGTACGCCTAGAAAAAGTAGAAGCTTAGCGCCATAGAAGCGTTGATGGCGAAATGTAAAAGTTTATTTGCCGCTTACTTTTCTTTGATGGTGGATTGGTCATGAATGTTGAATGCGTGATGAAGGCGCATTAATCTTAAAAGTCACCGATAAAAGTGATGCGCTAAGATTTGGTTAGCGTAGAGCATTTTTAGCAATAAAATTGAAATAAATTGAATTTTGTTTTACATCATTTTAAAAACATGAAAGAATTATACCCCTTACAGGTAGATCTTTGTTAGCATGAAGGGGTATAAAAAGATCTTTGTTCTGATTTTGATCGGTCAGTATGCTTGGCAGCTATATGCCATAGTTGTCCGATTAAAACAATTTATTTGGAGATTATAGCACTGTCTAGGGCAATAACTAATGCCGAAACTCGTGAAGATCTCTTGTCAAACCAAAAAGTTTTCCATATAAGGATTTGATTTTGATCGACCAGTTTGTGTGACAGCTCTCAGCTATAGTGGTCCAATATTGACGGTTTCAACAAATGAGTAAGTTTTTGGAAAGAAAAAGACGTGTGGAAAATTTCAGACAGAAATCTCGAAAACTGCGTTGGTCGCCTTGTCATGTCTAAGCAGCTTAAGTAGTGATAATGGGCGCATCCCAAAGAGGAATACATCATAGCTCACATAATATGAACATGGATGATAAAACCCTGAGTTTTACACCCATCTCCGTTCTGTGAGTATTGTGAGGATACTCGAAACAACATCAACTTAAGCCAAGGTGTCGAAGTACCCATTTTGATGGCTGAATGGCCAGAAGGCTGCGGCGGAGACAACGAATGTCGACTCTGCCAACGAGTGAGCAACTCATTTCAGATGACACGTGGGTATTAACACATGCAACAACAACAAAATAATAACAACAACAACAACTAACACCTTAACGACTACCGCAACGACTGCAGTGACAGCGACAAACATTACTGCTTATCCGTTTATTATGAAGAGAACCTCCTTGCCTCTTCGCTAAGAGACGATGAAGAGCACTACCTGGTGTACCAACCAAAGTACATCAGTAGTGACAGCAACAAAAACAGAGAGTACCAACCAAAGTACTATAAAACTGGGTATGGAACCGTTTACCTCCAAAGCAGCCAAGAGTACGAAACAGAGTACACTGGCAGCCAAAGGGGAGGTACAGCGCAAAATGAGAAAGAAATTTGTACTCGGAAAGATAGCCAAGGTCCAGGCTGCTGGCACTTCAGTTCCCGAAGAGGAAAAGCATCCATTTGATTTTATACCGCATATAACTATCAACACCTGTGATATTGATATATATTGATTTTAGCAAAAAGAAGTTAAAATATAGTCCTGGTTATATTTGAGTTTGTAGTTTCGAAAATAGGTGAAATCGATACATGAATTACCACACCCCCAAATATTTAAAAAAAAGTGTAAGTTTGATACAAAGTTTGGAAAAACCGTAAATATTTCTTTGACTCAAAAAGTTGGGAGAGTAGATGATGTTCGGTTCCACCCCAACTTAATCCTACCTTACTCTTTCTTGTGTTAGCTCGTTTACTCTGCAATTTATCAGCTTATTTTTAGTACTTTTTGCCGAAAACTTTTAAATTTTAGACAGCAGCAAAAAAATTTATAATAAATTGCCTACTTTTCAGCGCCAATACAATTTTATCGAAATGTGCATATAGATCAGACATATTCGGAATGGACTATTTTGAGTATTATTTGTTGAAAACTTTTAAATTTTTGACAGCAGCATACAAATTTAAAATTAGTTGCCTACTTTTCAGCGCCAAGAAAAATTTTACAAATTGTATAAATCAGTTATATAGATAAATAAATATACAAATAATGAGAATAATTGAATTAAAAATAGCTTTACAAAGCTCCGTTCAAAAATCCCCGGCAACTGCGGAATTACAAATATTGGTGCAACTCATTTACAGTTAAAGATTGATATCGCGCTATCAGCTCATCTCTAAATAATTACTATAATTTAAATCTCAATTGCAATTAATTTGAGTGCGATAAAAATCAAAGCGTATTCGTTTGTAGCGTTGCTACTGTTTGTGTTGTTGTTGGTGTTGCAGCTACCGACACACGGAGCAAAGTTTTAATCACGACCACACCGAGGCACATTTATCGGCAACCGGAATCAGTGTAATTAAATTATGAACGTCCTATTATATACAGTTAGCAAAGGCACACACACACACACAAAATCATACAGTTTAATGCAGCATTGGCGCTTTCGGCCGATTCGCACGGAAGCGCGGCGTGGCAAGCGTTTGTGTCGAAATTGCGCTTACAAATGCGACTTTTAATTTTTATCCGACTCTTTATTGAGTTTGCATTTTTACTGCTGCCGCAGACAAAAGTGCAGTTGTTGGCGCAATCGCCGGCTGCTGTTGGTGGTGGCGGCGGCGGCGACGGCGTCTGGCAAAAACAATATCGAATCAAAACTTTTCGCATATAAAAATGTGCAACGGCGTCGAAAGTTTTTCATTAGTGCAAAAAAGTTCTCACTTGTCAGCCAAACAGGGGGCAAAAACGCTTTGTATAGTGTAAACGCGGCAAACGAGTCGAGTGGCGGTTGCAATTGCCGTGGAATTTTTGCGAAATACAAATTTTACCGTTACTTTATTTTTGGCATTCCCATTTCCTTTGCTTCGCGCTGATATTGTGCAAGAGTCATAAAATAAATTCGCGTTTTTGCTCAGTGTATGGTTTTTTTTTTTAGGTTTTGTTTTTGTACAACTTGTTGAGTATGTATCAATTTGGTGCGCATGGAAAACACGCAACAACAACAGCAATAAGCGCGCTTGTGGTGCCTGCGGGCGGCGGTAAAGGAATGTCATCATTACCTGGTCTCACTTGGTTGGCGCTGCTGGCGGTGATTGTGGTGTTCGTGTTGCCACCTGGTGCTGTCACATCGGTAGAGTGAAAGCTAAATATAATTTTAGTATACCCTATTAGGTTACATTTATTTACTTACAGCGCGTTTTAAAGAGAAAACTCGAAATATTTATTTTAAAAATTATTAGACCGCATTTTTGCTCTTCTAAAGTGGATTTTTTTTTAAATTTCAAATAAAATTATATATTTCAAGTTTGGATTTCAACTAAAATGACAAAGCAGCGCCTCATTCGAGCAAAACCAAAAGTTATATTAGCCCTTAACTAATTTGAAGAAAATATCAAAAGTAACCAGTATTTCAGTAAATTTTTTGAATTTATAAAGCCGTTATGTGGGCGTATCTATTTCTAGGTTATGTATATTCAAAAAGAGCTTCAAAGATCGTACTCGGTATATTTCTAATAACTAAACCAAATTCTAGCATTTCTAAGGTGAATTTTCCAGAAAAGTAATACAAGTCTACATCGTCATTCCATCAAAGAATGTAAGGTAGCGCTTTATTCAAACGGAACTGAAAATTAAATATCATTTTCAAATCACCAATAAAAAAAAATATCAAAAGCGTACAATATCTCAGCAAAACCTTTGGGCTTAGAATATCGTAATATGGGCCATGAACGTAGTTGGTTCGTATTTCGAACTAATCTTCTCATCAGAGGATATAATATCCGAGGCATACATAGTTTTTTTAAGAAATGTTTAACTAAATGTTTGTATTGGTTTCTTTAAGATATTAAAAAAACACGTTCAAAGTGGGCGGAACCACGCCCTATACATATATATCTAAATTTTCATGTCACTGTTTTTGCATTACAGTTATAAGCATCATTTCCGAATTAAAATCATTTTGAAAAATAAACCAACGCAACAATTTTAAAATTACTGTTTAACCGATTTGGTTTTCTATATATTTATTCCGATCCTTATGCTCCTAATTTTAAAATAAATTCTGTCTCCACTTTCTCTCTCTCTCTCTCTCTCACTCAATTTCTCTCTTCAATTATTACTCTTTCTCTTTCCATCTATCTAACAGACACCAACCGCGCCCACTCGCAGTTTCGTGGAGGCCTGTCAAGTGAAACACAACATCACCATGGAGGAACTGGATGAATTTCCCACTGATCCCAGTCCGGAAGATATCGACATAAAATTCAAATGTTATGCCGATTGTCTACTAAATGGCATGGGCTTCATGGACTCAAATGGCAAATTGAATGCCAAATCATTGCATGAATGGGGCATTTTGAATGATGAAAGCTACGACAATATGCTTGAGTGTAAGGCCGCCAATGATATGGAGGATGATCCGTGCGAATATAGCTTCGGCATGATGTTATGCGCTCGTATGCTCGATTCGGTGGAGATGGACAACTACAGTGACGAAATGGACGATGCGGCGGTGGAAGAGCGTAAAAAGTGAGCGGCAGCTAGATTTATGGATCGCTGAGTAATAAGTCCATATTTCGATGGCATCTAAATTAGTGGCTAACTGAAAATTTTATAAATTCGGTATTTTCAATATGTTATCTAATTATATACTTGTTTCTGCGTAAAATAAATTCAAATAACTTTAGAGACAACAATAAAAAGCTTGGAACATATTTTAATAGTAATAACTTCAAGAGACCAACTAAAAGAAAACAATTGCAATAGAACGTGTAAGTTGACATTGGATCTTGAGATAGCTTTAAGCTGTACACACCTGTAGCAGTTTGAAATGTTAAAGAAAACTACTGGCTCTAATCAGACAACATCAATAATGACAGTGAAGTAACCCAAAGCGTCATACAAAATTAAAAAAGTTAAGCAGAAGCATACAAGAAGAGCACTAGTTGTGTCCAATTTGTGATTACGAGTGAGGATTAAGTCTAAAATCAAATGTTCTGTGTACTGAGATAAAATTGTGGCCAAAAAACTGAGAAAAATTTTACAAGTCGGTAACAGCTCCATCAATACTATAGTCTACTGAATAATTGATAGAAGACCTCTTAATAAGATTTAAAAAAAATTTACATCTTAAGTTCACTTTTCTTGTTCACCAAAGCAAAAATAGTCTGTATAGATAAGCTCCTCGCTAGCTAAGCCTCTATTCTAGCTTTTTTAGCGGTCAAGAATGGCTCTGAGAGATTTATGAACCTCATATTTCAATCCAGGTTTCAAAAAACTCTACTGATTAAATTGATGAAGCAAAATATTTGAATATTTCGTTTTGAGTACCATAAGTTGCAAAGTTAGATCAAAGTACTCAAAATGGGTTACCAATGTGAACATTTTAGGGTTAGTGAACTAGTTGAAGGTGTTTATCAAACATTTTGGTTAATGTCACTTCTCGTTCACAGAACATTTCCCACTTCTTTTGTAATGCAGTAAATATCACAGACACAAACCATTGAGCATTCTGATTAGCCAAGAATTGTACCATTTTCGAGTCTTACCCCCTTAATTCAAAGTGAAGTTGACGCAATTAAAGAGGGATTTTAGATGGAATTATTTCAAATAATCATAGCATAAGCATCATAAGCATTGAAAACTTTTTCCATGCAGTTTTTGTATGGGTGATATTTGTAAACTTAAAAATACTACTAACTGACTAATTTTGAAACCTAGCGCACTGTGATGTCTAAGTATTTACGTAAGCATTGAGAACTGTTTTCATAGAGGTTTAGTCCCAGTTAAGCCTAACTAATATATAATTTATGTCAAAAATGAAATTTGTCGAATTTGATGAGAGTTTATTTTGAACATATAATTGCAGAGAGGGGTGAGTTACAGTGTTGGGAAACAAAATTAAGACCAATTTCTACAGAATTTGAAGAGCTAAAAAGAAGTTTGATGCATATTCTGTAAGAAATATTTATACATACACCTTTCCATGAATTTCATAATTAAATTTGCCGCTTAAAACTTCACAGAATTTATGGAAAAAACAAACACACAACCTTTTCTGGTTGACCCACTCAACATTAATTTATGTATTTCCGGTGATTTCATTAAATTTGGACATTAATAAATCATGTAAACATTAAATCAACATTGAATAACGAAACATAACACAAAAAAGAGCCAGCATAAATCCCATAAGAGGCAGTCAATTGAAAAGCCTACGCTCATTAACAAGGACAAGTTATGCATACATATACCTCTATAAATATATAGATACATATTATATATGAGCATATATACATATATAAGGGTCACTGGTGACGCACCCACATAATACTGCCTAATATGTCGAGCAAGATATGACTTTAGACGACTAAATACAAAAGCAAACAGCAACAGCAAAAGAACAAAGCAAAAGATGGAAAAAATTCTCATTATTATACAACAAAAACAATGAGAAAATCAACAGTGACCAGGAATGTCACATCAATCTAGAGAATATTGTAGACGCTTTGTTTAACAAGCGCCACCCCAGGCACCATAACGAAAGCACGCGCTTAAGCCGACAGAAAAAACTCCAAGCAGAGAAGAAGTGCGCAAAAAGTCTAAGGATTTAGAGCTAGCAAGCTGCAGCAAGTCGGGCACATAACAAGCGTCTAGCGGATGAGCGCTACATGACAGGAGAGCGCATGTTATGAACATGTGCGACGACAACAACTTATTTATGCGCTGTGTACTTAATCGGCTTAGCAGCTCGCCAGCAGCCGAACGCCTACACACATAACCTTACATAGGCATATGGTTGCAGTTGTGTCTCCTGCCACTTGAGAGCATCGCGCTCATATGCTCATTTGGATTTTCAACGCATCGACGGCGCTGTGTCTAAAGGAAAGCTGGCAGCAGTGCTTAGACAATCAGCTTTGATGTGCATAGTGGTGTTGTTGTTGGTTTTAATTTTTATACCCTGAACAGAATATGGAAACGTGTAAAGCCTAGACGGAAACAACGGAGACCTCATAAAGTGTATATATATGGTAAACGATTTGCGACGAGCAGAGTCGATTTCGCCTGTCTGTCTATTTGTACGCGAACTAGTTCCTCAGTTTTTTTTTTTTTTTTGGAGATATCGGCTTTCAATTTTGCACACGATCTTTTCTCCCCGAGCAACTACTCATATGTCGGACGCACTGATATCGAACCACTATAGCATACAACTGCCTTACAAACTGAACGATCAAAATCTCGTCCTTGTAAGGAAAACTTTTTTGTTTGACAAGATGTCTTCACAAAATTTGATAGGGATTTTTATACTAAGCAAATATATATACTCCAAATATTTTGTTGAGATCGGTGCACTATAGCACAGAGCTGCCATACAAACTGACCAATCAGAATTTTTTACTTGTGAAGGTTCTTGTGGCTTCGTTGCAACCGAAATTAATGTTTGTCCATCCTTCATAATAGTTAGTAAATATATATATTGTTGCATAACCACGCACACATACACACATTCCAGCCATTTAAATACATGTTTATGCTGGCGGATTGACATCTAAGCTAATATGCGCAGGCAATTTTTTACTCTCTCTTTGCCTTTGTTTAGCTAACATCCAAGCGCTTTCAACTTTTTTTCTTTGCTCTTATGTTTTGTGCGTCTTTTTGTGCAGCTTCTTGCTAGACTTACTTGCGTTGCTGTGTAGTTTTGTGGCTTAGCTGCGTTGACTTGTTCGCCCAATCGCTTTGTTGTTATTATTGTTGTTATGTATCTCATTACGTTTGCTTACCGAGAAACGGTGCGTCCATCAAAGCGCAAAAATCCAAGTTCAGTGTAATGATAGCGGTAACGGTAGCGTGGCGCTAGTGGCATTTAGCCATAATGAAGCATGCTTTCAGGCGCTTTTTTTCCTCAATAGCTACAGTTTGTGTGTTTCACAATTGTTTGTAGCATATTAAAGCGCGCTTAAGTTTGTTCACATAGATTGTACATTATAGTTGTTATTTTCACTATGTTTTGTTGCTGTTATTGTTATTGTATGCCCGCAAAACCCACAGTGCTGTTTTTGGTTGGCAAAAGCAATGCGTAACTAGCTCTATTTGCCTTTGCCATTACTATGCATATATGTTTCACACACATGCACAAACACTAAATACACATAAAAAATTGTACGTGCCACTTTTTTATAACGTTTTCTATGCCGCTTACTCCCCGCTGCGTGCTTCAAGCGAGCAGCTAGCAATCTCATTATATTTGCGTGCCGTCTGCATTGCGCCTTAAAGTATGCAAATGTGCTCGTTGACAGGGAAAACTAGTTTAATCTTACCTTATTTATTTATTTAACTAATTTTTTTTGTATTTTGCATGTTCCGCTCGTGCTCTTGCCACAGAATCGCTTTCGTATAGCAATTTTAGTTTTATTTTTATTAGCCATATCTGCGGTTGTGTATCTTTATAGGTATTTACACAAGCGTATGCACACATACAAAGACGTGAAGTGCCTACATGTGGTTAGTTGAATGTGCGTGTATACATATGCATATAATATATGTATATATTAATGTGTGTGTGTGTTTGAGCGCTTGTTGATGTTTGTAGTTTATCTTTTCGGCGCTGTGCCACTTGTCTGCAGCAGATTTTACGGTTTTAAATTGTTATTGCCATTACTGCGGTTAGCGGTTTTATGCTTGCTTTCATGTATGTGTGCCTGTACTAAACTTACATATTTAGCCGCTAGTCGAGTGTTTTGCGGCTTTTTACAATATGCATTTAGGAGTTTGTATTTTTAAAAGCTTAATTGTGGCTAATGCCGTTTTGACGCTAAATGTGTTGTTAACATGAGCTTTGGTGAATTGATGTGTGGTCAATATATATCTACACATGCGATATCACGAAATTGAGCAAGTTAGCAATATATGATTACATTCACATAAGACTTTATATTTCGTAATTAATTCTACTTCGAAAATAATGTCATGCGCCAGCATAAAAGCTTTTAGTGAAATGTTTTTGATTAGAAATTATAGTTTAGATTCGGTTAAGAACAGCACACGACACAGAGCGAGCAGAAAATTGCAGCTATGATTGCCAAAAGTTAGTAATAGTAACAAGAATTTTAGATTTCATGCTTGTAAACAGAAATATTTAGTATTTTATACTCCTTCAACTGCATCTGATTTGCACGCACTGTTAGTTTATAGAGTAAGCTAGTGAGGGACCGTTACTAAGACTGCCAACTTATATTATTTTTTTTGGATTAAAAAACACCTAAACATGCATGGCCTGCCTCACTGGTGGCCAGCGGCCTCACTTAAGCAATAAAATACCCTCTTTTGCCTTGATACTGATTTTCTGAAATAATTTTATTTATTTTTAGCGTTTTTATTGATAATTCTTCTTCATAAACTTCTGTCCATATGTATATTCTATTCTATTTTCGTATATGACCAAGTTTTCGCATTTTCACTATATAAGTTCCTCAAGTAAGATATTAGCGCCCCTAAAATTAGCCTCCATCATCATATATTTGTACTCTAACTACTGTAATAATGATATCAAAGTCCGCAAATCTTTACACGTTGATATAAAATATCATTTTCCAGGCAGCATTCTTTGGCAGGTATTCTCTATGAATAAAATGTGTCTTCAAAGCTGGCAAAAGCTTTCTAAGCTCCGACTAGTTATCAAGAAAATAAAATAGGAGCAAAAAGACGAATTTCCTTGTAACTTTTTCACAGCTATTCGAAGGTTGTATTTTATGAAGAAATCTCTCAAAAATATCTGGTGCAGCTGAGATATCTACCATTTCCTAAAAGCCCCAACAAAGCTGATTCGACTGAACCTTTTAAATTTTGGTAGAAAAAACTAAAACGCTGTTTATATATTATAACAAAATACAACTCAATATCCGTTATCTAGTATATTTTTCCAATTTTGCAGTAAGCTTATTAACCAAGGATCACTTATATCGAATATGGACCACACCGGTTCATAATCGCACCAACTACAGAGAATTTGACTGCTATGTTATTGAACGGCATTTTTCTGCTTAAATGGCAAAATTAACAATTCTCAATTATGACTTCTATTATTATATTTTAATTTCCTCAGGACGAATGCGAGAAAATTTTCGAGGTTTAGCGAAACAAGGTCTTACAAATCTCTCAAGCTTCTATAAAACAGC